TTATGTAATAGATTCCTCTTCTAAGCAAAGCAACAACCATGCATGAAGTACTTACTGCAGGCTAGGTTGGTTGAATAGGGCCAAAAACTAAGTGTAAAGGATGACTGACTGCAAGTAAGCTGGGGCATGGTAGCACACACACTTAATCCCAGCACCGACGAGCTGAGGCAGCACTGCCTCCAGGTCAGTCAGGACTCCTAGGGAGCCCCTGCCTAAAAACAAAAGAAAGAATGACTACAAGGACTCTGCTTGCAGCCATCCCGTAGGCTCTTCTCAGATAGGTTGTAACTCAAAAGCTCATCTTCCTTCCTGAAGTTTTGCGACAACCTATTTTCCATCTACACTGCCAACTTCAATTCATTTTCCAGGCCACAACAAAATTTATATTTTCAAAAAGAAAACCCCTAGCAGATTTCCAGTATACCTTGGGATAAATTCTAACCTTACAATAGTCAAGACGTTTAGCGATCTGCCTTCTGCTCACCTACCTCCCCAGGGTCCACTCCCACTTCCTTGTCCTTCTGGTTTTATGAACCTCACCAGGCTTTGCCTCTAGTATTGTCTTAGGTTAAAACAGATGTAACTCTCCTCTTTTGTCTAAGAAGTCCTGCTTATCCTCTGGTCTCTGGTTAAATGTTTTTGTGGCGAAACCAGTCACGATTTTCCCTGTGAGTCTTTTCTGAATGTTATTAAAGTCTCTAGCTATCTAGACTGTAGGGTCTGTGAGGGTAAGGGCTAAGTCTACCCTGTGTGAGTAAGCGGGATAACCTGATCCTATCTGACCTCCCAAAAACTCTTTAAAGAGGTTCGGCAATTGATGCCAATGAGTAGCAAATTAAAGACGATACACAGTGGTGATGGTGGTGGGCCTGGAACGCTGGGAGCATTTCGCTCAGTGTGAAATCCTGAATCCTGTACCAAATTAACAGATTTATAGTTAACTGTGTTAAGTACTTTAAAGAGATTTATCAAATTATTTTTCAAGCCCTTGGTGGGGGCAAAAAATCCAAAACCAAACAAACAAAAAAACATCCATTCTGACATGCTGATATTGTTTCTAATCCTTAAATTCCATCCAGCAATATTCTCAAGATATTTACAAATAATCTTTAAAGACATGAGATAATGTTCAAGTAATAGTGTTTTTAAAGTATACAAACTGGGGCTGGGAATTTAGCTCAGTGGTTCCACTGCCTGCCTGGCAAGCTCAAGGTCCCCAGGTTCAATCCTCAGTACCAAAAACAAACTAAAAACAAACAAACTGCATATGCAGAATAAGAGATGTCTATTCCTATACTTGATACAAAGATAGGAGGAAATGCATCAAAGTGTGTATTGTGATTATCTCTTGCATAAATTATTTATTCACTCTTCAGTATTTCTCTGAATGAACAGGTATTACCTTCAGTCAAAACAGTATAAGAATTATTTTAAAAATCATTATAAAATGAATTCTTTTCTATGTAGGCAGTTGCTTCAAAGACTATTTTAAGACTAAAGAACAAGCCAGTGGCAATTACCTAACAGTACAGTGCTTGATGTGGATTAGGGAAGAGGAGAATGGACCACACCATGGAATTATCTCTGGAGAAAGTGAGGGCCTAAGTGGCAGTTCTGACAGCTGGTCTGGGAAAGTCCCTCACCTGCACCAACACCTACCTCAACAGACCTAGGAAGTTGCTTTTTCTTTTGCTTAACAATAGGTCCCTGTGATAAGCAAAATTGCCTCCATCCAAAGCTCCCTGAAGTGCAAAAAGACTCAGAAGATCAAAGGAACCATTAACCACTCCCTGCACTTCAAAGGTTTCTCCCATGGGAACTCTGAGAAGCAGCTGCACGTTCACGTATTACTTATTAGAGACTTCCATTGCTATGTATAAGTGTGGCAGTACAAATGTCTTGGCTACTGTGTCCCTTCGATGTCTTCATTATGGTTCGTTTTAGGTTCAACAGTTTCGTGTAAACATTTAAAATGAGTAACAAATCAAAATATATTAGAAATATAGACTTACCTAGCCCTACCGAGCCTTGTAGCAACCTTATTTTATTGTCCTTTCTAAACCTAGTTTTTAAATATCTTGGTTAGTTCTCTATTTTCTCAAGCAGAAAAAGAAACTAAAACAAGTATTTTGTTTCAAATAACTTGTATATTAATGCAACATTCACACAGTGTCTACAAAGTCATTTACTCTTCCTAGTCTCACAGTCCCCATGAACAACATTCCTTAATTAAAACATTTCACGAAGACTATGTTGACCTATTGCCAGAATAACTCAGCCAAGTACGCAGATACAGATTGTTACCTGAACACGTTGCCTCAAAGTATCCATTTTAATAATGAAAATATATCTATAAGTCATTACTTTAAGGAAAATTACCTTATGCCTTGAGTATACCACTGTGTTTACTGGAAAACAGGACCTAAGTGGAAAATAATCAGGCTTGAAGAGTAGAGATCAAAAACGTCAGCCCCAATCGGCCTTTCCTTGTCTTACCTGCCATCACTGTTCTCTTACTTGGTGGCTACTCTGTAAAGAAAGGATAGGCTGATTTGGCGTGGGATTTTGGTTTTGTTTTTTGAGATAGAGTTTTACTATATAGCCCAGGGTGGCCTTGAACTTGCAGCAATTCTGGCTCAACCTCCTGAGCACTGGGATTTGTGCGCCACTATGCCTGGTTTGGGCTGGCATTTTTCAGCTCTAGGGTTCAAGACTAATTATTTTCCAGTTAGGTCTTATTAACAGGGAAAAGGGGCATGTATGTGATAAGAGACATTCTACACAATTAAACTCAGTTAAAGGTTTTACACTGAGAAATCTATATGACAAAGTATACAGCAAGGTCAACCTTGCATTCATGCCTTTAAATTAATTTATTAACCATACAGCAGTGCAATGAAGAATAAAACATAATTCCCACTCTTAAGTATTCTCTTCTAGAAGAGCCACAGATAAGCAAAGCAGGGCCATAAACAAGTACAGCCGCACAGTTCAAAGCCCTCAGAGCAGGGAGAAGTCTGCTTTTCGAGTAGTAATGGGAAAGGGGTGTGTTTGTGCACCAAAGACAGGAGAAAGGGGGAGTGGATTAGGAGTATCTGTGATGATTCCAGGCAGTGAGCTTGAGTATAAAGATCAGAAATTATCTGGCAGATTCTGGGAACCGCAAGCAGTTCAGAGTTTTCAGTCATAAATATAACAACCAAGTTGAATATTTTAAATTTAAGTTCGGAATGGCAGTCCACAGTGGAAGTTGGCTAATGCACCAAGGAAAGAGCCTGCAGAGGAGCACAGCAGGAAGAAACGTCACAGAGGAATAAAGTGGCACGAGTGCTAAAGAACCCAAAGGGTCCAGCTTTGGGGCATAACAGGTGACTTTTGCCAAAGCATGGTTAAAGGAAAGCTGAGAGAAGCTAACCCATCGGTTGGAGGGTGAGCCTGCATCTGGGACAGCGGATACTTAGTGTAGATTAGACTAGCAATTTGTGACGGAGAGGAATAGGGGACAGGTCCCCAAAAGACTGAAAGATGGCATCAAAAACACAGGCAGGGCCAGGGCTTTAGCTCAGTGGCACCGCACCTGTCTCCCAAGCGCAAGGTGCTGAGTTTGATCCTGATACCAAGCGGGAAAAAAAAAAAAAAAAAAAAAAAAAAAG